TATGATATAATTAAATTAAAATTTAAATAAAAAACTAAATCTTAATGTGATATTTCGGATATAAAAGCAATTTCATATTAAGGTGTTTACTATCATCAGTCATTCTAGTTTTTATGCAGAAATATATTTTTCAAATGTATTGTCAAATTTATCCTATTGGTTAAGTTGTTTGTTACTTAAATATAAAAACAAAATAGAAGAAAATCTGAATCACTTTTATATGTTTAGCAAACTTAGAAGTAGTCCATTTGATGTGAGTGATGGCAAATTTCTATTGATAAATGATGGATGGAGTTATATCATCTGAATAATGAGACCATTCCTAAAAATTTGATTCTCTTAAAGTGGAATGTAATTAAAGAAAGCACATATGTTTTTAAGTTAAATTTTTCTCTTACTCCCAAAAGATTATAGATGAGGAGATTGACGCAAATTTATTGAATAATACTTGTTGGAATGCAAATTTGATAATGATTACATTTCAAATTAGTTTTTGCTGAAATTTTGATTCTTTCTGGATTGAAAATATCAATTTTTTGATTCTTTCATTTTTTTTTTTTAAGAGATGAATCTTTTCCTAACAAAATCAAGTAATGTTAAATCAATTATTTTAAATCAATTTTAGATCAAACAATATTACTCAAAATATATTTTTACATTTTAATGTTATAATAGTTTCCCTGAGTTAAAGAATAGGCAATTCATTAATTTTTCACAAAAGGAAATTTTTAAATTGATGAACGCTTATAGAATTTATTTACAATTCATCATGTCTTACCTTAAAATATCTTTTTTTCTGGTTGCTTTTATTTTAGGTTCAGCTGTATAGTGTATCATAAAATCTTTATTGTTCAATTCTTCTTGTAATATGCTAAAAAAAGAAAATCCAAATACAGTGATTCAAAAAAGATAGTTCATTTAAATTAGTTGAATATTCTATTATCAATACAATTATTACAGATAGAAATTAATAAAAATGTCATTTTAAATTTTTTGTTCTTGAACAAAAGTGAATATTTAAGATTTATCATTAACTAATAGAAAATCATTTTTACAATATGCAATCGTTTATAATAATATTTATCTATTTAGAGTTTAGTTGAATTTGCTATCAGTTACCATTACAACATTGATTTTAAAATATAAATTTTTACATTTTACCTTTATTTTCTTATTTTTTTAATTCAATTTTTTGTCTCCTGTGGCTTTAATGGTTTAATAGACTAAAAGTTATCATCTAAATGCTAAAGAACTTTTATCAAGAGAGATTGCGAAACAAATCTCATTTTATTTAAATGAATAATCTTCTATTAATCCATAACAGGATGTGATCTTTTTTTATGGATATGTATATGAATGTATCCTTGGTTCTATATAAATAACTTTTGCATCACTATTGCCAACGAATGCTAATGAGCCCTAGTTATCATTTAATAATTTTGATTCCATTAATATCAAAATATTAATGTTCACATTTTTCAATTTCTTCAACCTCGCCTTCTATTATTTTTATCTTTGCAGTTTGTTTTTTTGTTATTTTATTTATAGTGTATTCATCCATTCCTACAATTTGTTATTAAATTAGATTGATGATTATTTATGATGATAGAGTTATTTGAATTTCAACTTTAAGTAAAGGAAAATTATCAGAATATCGAAACAATTAATTTTTGAAGAGTTTATAATAATTAACAACAATAGCATCGGAAGTATTATTAAGAATTTAATCTAGTCAGGCACCGATATTGTTTAATGTTGACTAATTGATTTATTAATAAACAAGATTACTTTAACCTGATTTTACACGGATTGCAAACATTCTTTCATTTTTGGTTGAAATCTTAACAATATCTTCTTGCTGATACATAAGATTTTTTATAGAATCAATATATTAATATGAAGATTATCCCTCAGATTTCTTATCAAAAAGAGAGCATCAATTATATTCTCAGTATCAAGGAAATAGTAGGTTTTTAGCGTAGGGGTGATATTTGGATAACTAGAAGAATTTAACCTTATAAGGTTAGCTTAGTTTATTTTTTTCATTTGGCTAATTTTAAAGTTAACAGAGAATTGAATGCTAAAGGTTATAAGCAAATCAAAGCAGCAGTAGCAGTGGTGAAATTTTTTTGAGCTCTTCAAAACAAAAATAGAGACATTTAAGACTTAATTATCTCATAAAATCTTCAAATTCTTTGCTGTGTTCTAAAGTTAAAAATATTTTTCAGATTCTATATTACATTAAGAAGATAAAATTCATTCTAGCCTGTTGTTTATCATAAGCTTATGATAAAGAAAACTAATTATTATTTGTAGTTTTGTTATTATAATGTTATTTCTTTTGAAGGATGAAGGCTTCCCATGACCTAATTGATTAGGTCAGTAGTGCAAAATGTCTTAATGTGTTTGAGGTGCCCTAAGTGAAACAGTCTCAAGGAAAAGAGCTGTCTCTGTCTAACAATATTCTGATGAATACTACTAAAATTTGAAAATAGTCCTGTTTTTATATAAATGAAGTAAACAGAATTTAAATTGAAATGAGGAATAAATTTAAAACGGTTGCTTTTACCAAAAAGGGATAAGCCTACAGCCATATAACTAAATATAGTAATGATTCATTTTATCTTTATTCCCTTAAATTTGTATGTAGTTTCAAAGTTTTATTATTCATACCTTAATTATTTTTTTTTTAACTATTGTAATTTTATGGTAACATCATTTGATTTAAAAGTTCAAGAATTCAGTTGAAATGTTGAAGAAAAACTCATGAAAATCAAAAGAAAACATCACCTATTAATTTCAATTATGAACTAAGAAGAAGGAATAATAGTCTATAGACCTTAATGTTAATGATACAAAAGAAATATTAGTTTTGAAGAATACAAAGGAGCATTTGGATGTTAAATTCTATAGCCATTTATTTTTGCAGTTTCTCTGCACGTTTTTTCCTTAAATTATAATTCTTTTTTTTATTTAATCTCATGTAAGCATTCGCCATTAATCTGCAATTAAATATATAAGTTAAGCGATATGATACTGTTTTCTTAAATGTTGAACTAAAAAAAACTTTGTAATATTTTTTTTTTAGATAGTGAGAAATACTAGAACATTATATAGGTAGATATTGCTTAGGAGTTATTTCCTTGAACTTTAAAGTTCTCTTTTTAAACTTAAAATATGATTTTTTGGTGAGGAATACTATAAGACTGAGATTAAAGCAGTTTTTAAAATAATAATCTTATGTTTAAGAGTATAAATGTCTAATTCAATAAACAGCTCATATATTAGAGTTCAATCAAAATATAAAAAAAAGATTCCCGAAAGTTGCATATTCTTATTCAGGTTAGAACCATGCAATCATTGGTATTTCGCAGTAAACTATATATTTTAAGGTGATAACTTTAAATAGATTAAATATCAAACAAAATTTTGAAACTAGCAAATATGCATAGGAAGAGTTGCCCAAATAATTCAAAGCATTATATAATCACACTTATTGGATATTCTTACGATTCAGCTATTTTCAAACGAGAAAATAATGATTCTTTCAAGAAGATATGGAAAAAATACCATAATCAAACATAATTAGTATTTATTAACATAGCTTTTGTTGAATTGCTATTCATAAAAGTACCTTTTCAGATAATCTTATAAATTTTATTTTGTTATGGCATTATAATTATAATGTAGTATTCACAAATAATAAAAATAAAGAAAGAATAAAAATATATAAATTTTATTCTAAAACTTCTTGGTTTATTTACTTAAAAAATAGTAATCCTCGTTCCTTTAAAAATTAAATATATTAAGATCTAATTATACTCTGGCCATGACCATAAATAATAGCCTTAGTTCTTTTTAGCAGAACATTTTTTTTAGCTAAATTGATGATTTTTCTGAAACATATATAAACTAGTTTTTAAAAAAAATATACAGTCCTTATTAGATTTAAGGATATGGTCTCAATAATTAACCTATTTTCAACTTCAAAGTTGAATATTTAATCCAAGAATTGTATCTAATTGAAATAGAATAAACCTTTGAGGGATGAATGAATTTAAATTTTCAATAATTTTGGTAGCAGATATTCATAAGTCTTTTTAACTATATAATGATTGCAATATAAATGTTTAATAAATTAGTTAATTAAGACTGTTAGTTTCATAATTTCAATCAACTTTGGATATCTATTTAATTAATTCACCTTAAAATTTAACTAGTTGAAAGACTATTACCTAAATTATAAATAGCTTGTAAGATATAAGCTTTAGAAAAGTTGATTATTTGTCTCTTACGACTTGATTATCATATACATATTTTACAAAAATAATCTGTCACAATCCTTTTCCAATTGAAATAGACAGTACTATCTTGCCATGAGTAAGAATAATCTGTATCTATTGAAACTAAAATTTTAATTTAGATATCTAAAACTCATTTTAGATATTTCTACATACAGTTTCACAAGGAAATGATTGTAAGAAGATTTAAGGACTATAAAATAAAAAAGAATGAGAGTAAAACCCTTTAAATAGAATTCATTATAAATACATTCTTTAAATTATTTTTACTTCCTCTAATTATTTAATTAATTAAATAATTTACAATCAATAAAGTAATGAGTTTATGAAATTAGTGCTTATAAGGGGCATTACCTTCTTCAATTACCATAATCTAAAATTCTAAGTCTACATCAATATTTTTGAGATTTAAAGAAAAATTTTAGAAAAAATGTTGGAGGACCACTTTGCTCAAAGTTGTAATTTATCTGTAAAATTACACCTCTTTTTTATTAGAATTTATACTGAGTTTAATTTCTTGGACTTCAGATATTTATTTTGAACACCTTCTTCAGTCGATTTTACAACAACTATTTATGATTTCTTTAGTTTTACGTTTACTTTAAAAGTATTTCCATTTTCTCTTCTACTTGAAAACTCCATTAACAGGTTGTGGTAATTCATTCTGAATATATGGATCTACTTTGACAAAATAAGTGATATTTTAGAAAAATAAAACAAATTTATGTTGATTCACAAAGATATTATTTTGCCAAACATTGGTAATAAATTCTTTTAAAATTTGATTAAGAAGCTTTAAAAAAAATAATTAAAATGCTCAAAATAATTGTAAAATTAAAGGATATTTAAGTAAAGCAAAATAGTAATTTTATCAAAAAAATAATAATCATTTCATGAGAATAATAGAAATTGAAAGGAGAAAGTATACTACATATTCTTTTTATGATATATCTGTAAAAGTTACTGCTTCCAAAAAAAAGAAATCTTATTATAAATTAATTTAATCTACCAGCTTAATCGCCCTAAAGAAGCTTGAAAATTTCTTAAATTAAAATTCATAATATGTGTATCAATATTTAATCATATGTTTTGGTTAATTGAATTTTATTGGCTAATTTTGGTTTCAAATTTTTAGTTTAATGTTACTTCTGTTTTTGTTGCCATTTATTTATGTACTTTAGACAAACATTCATACTTGCGCTTTTTCCATATCACTTTGAACCCCTTTTTTTTAGCTTGGATAACAATTCTGTAATTTGTTAGTATGTTTTTATAAGATTGTTCCTAAAATTATGTATAGGGCATTAAGCCCAAGTAAATTTGAATAGAAGTAATAGGTCTATATGCATTATATCTAATTCAGTTTGTTTGATATCCTTTTGAATCTAATTATAATATTTTAATAAAGGACTAAATTGAATTGCATTTCTGTTGAGTGTTGAGAGACGCGCAAATATCAGCTTAACTTCTTACTAGGGATCAACTGGTTATATAGCCAAAATAGCCTCAAATTGCATTAAACTGTTCCTTTAGAGCATAGATTCCTCCATTTATATACAATATTATAGGAACGAAAATTGACAATTCTATTACTTTATCATTCTTACTATAATGCAATTTAATTTGTAAAGCCCACATTTCACCTTCTTATTTAGTAAAATATCCCTTTAAATTTGAAAACTAGTTTAAAAAGTTGATTACTTTATTTCTCTCTAGTTATTTTGCAACAAAAGATAAGTCATGCCATTCTTTAATGAAGAATCTCTTTAAGTAGTTCCAAGATAAAAATCAAATTTATAATCTTTCGCACATAACTTGCAACTAAGATTAACATCCTGCGTAAGAGAATCTCATTTAGAATTTTAGATTTAGATCAAATTCAAAACAATATTAGCAACTCTCTAATGTGAATAAAAAGAAGCACATCTTGAGGAATGCTTAAAAATATAGTTATTATTCTGTTTCATGTTCATTAAGTCTTCTATGATTCATTAACCAGGAGATATTATAATATCTTACACAAATTTAGCAGTTTCTTTTAAATAATCTTTCGGAATTACATTCAAATTCAATCTAAACTGCTCATAAAGCCCAAATTCACTTTGAATGCAGAGGAGCAAAATTTTAAAATGTTAATAACCCTAAAGGATAAGGAACCTGCATTAGGATATAATAAAGAAACAGCATTAAAAAAATTTGCTTTATTATTTCAGTTGCTATAATATTATCTTTCATCAAATAATATTCAAGAATGCTCAATTGAAATTTTTAAAATACTCTTATTATCATCTAAACATCTATTGAGCCATTTTAATTTATTATCCAAATATAATGCTGACACAAGACCGGAAATATCAAATGAATTAACTTAGTAAAATTTTATGTGTTACACAAAATTTCAAGATTCAGGAACTCCAATTAGGGTAAGCAAACCTTTAATAACCCTCTAAATTTAATTGATAATTTGGATTTATAAAAAGTTAAATAATTGTTTTGAATGTGAAATTTCCAAAAATAATTATTTAAGTTGACTAAATATATAAGAAACAGAAGTAAACAAGGCTAA